CCCAAAAGTCGAAAGGTTGACCAAAACCCAAAAAGTCAACGGAAGTCAACAGGAGGCAGTACGCGGCGCGTACCTTCTCTGTACGCGGGGCGTGCGCTGACGAACCACAATCGGGGTCTCAACCCCTTACGCTGCGTGTACTGAGAGTTACGCCTAGCGTAAGTCTCAGTTTCAGCCTTTCCTTGGATTTTGGTTTTAAACGGTTAAGACACTCATTCAACTTTCAGATCTGACTTTCCCTAAGCCTCTTATCCCATAAAGTCGGAACCTTTAAGCCTTTGCATGGCTATAAAGGTCCCTAATCACTCTAACACCTTTCCTTCCTCCTCAAAAGGTCTAGATCTCATGCATGGCTCAATATTCACGTCCAAGATTGCATTTTTATGAACATACAACTCTTATAGTCCTGAAATATGGTAGATCTAGGCCAATGGAGACCATTTGCTCATAAAGTCTCCACCTTGGGACCAAAAACCCTAGAAATTGGTCCAAGAAGCACAAATCACAAATGACAAAGAAAGTTTTGAGCTTTATACCTCAGAAAGAAGCTCCAACCTCTGAAAAAACTCGGATCTACTCTTGTCCACCAACTTCTAGCTCCCAAAATGGCCTCCTCTTCCCTTTCACCACCTTGAAATGGCACTTTGAAGCTTACAACACAAGCACACAAGCTAGAAACGAAGGATGATTCTCTATTAGGGTTTCACTCTCTGAAATGGTGGCTGAGGATAAGGCCTTAGCATTCCTTTTATAGTGCACAAGCCACATATTAGGGTTTACATCTGGGCTCGCTACGCCCAGCGTAACCCTGGGTACGCCCAGCGTACCTAGGCGAGTCCGCGTCCAAATTAAGCGCGCGAGTACGCGCAACGTACTTTTCAGTACGCCCAACGTACTCATTTGCCTTAACATTTCATTTTAGGGCTTAACTTGACAACTTGGGAAAAGGAGAAGGGTTTAAGAGACACACCTGAATTCGGGATGTTACAGATATAATAATTTCAACATTCCTCATGTAGGCTTCGACGACTTCCTATAGCTCTAACAACAAAAGCATTTTCGTGTCTAAAACCCTAAATTATTAGACTATGCTTTTAAACATTACTCCTAAGTTCACGTTAGCTTAGGCAGTACAACAGCTATAACTTGAGGAATAACCAGGTTTTATCTTAACATAAAACCAACAATAATAACATAACACATACCAAGTTTTATCTTGACATAAAACCAATAATAGCAACATGCTTTATAAATTAGCATATAGAACTTCCGAATATAACTTCGAAACTATATCGTACACAACATATATATAGAATCCTAAGTATAACTCAAGATCTACATTAGTATAATAACATACTAACAAGTTGACAATAATCGTATATTTTCAAAATATTATACTTAAAACAACTATATCCTGGTTAATATAACTATCTATGTCGATACGAATATACTATCATATAGACATAATATTAACATATATATAATATTTAGCAAGCGTTTTTCCCGGAAAATATTGAAAAGTGGGGCCGTGAAACTCACCCTAGTAGCGTGATTAACTAGAAACGGTTAGCGGTTCGAGATCGTCGGGCTCGGGATGCAAGAGGGCTTCAGCAAATGAGGGAAATAAAAGAGATTTTGAGGTGAGAAGAGCTGAGGTCGGACCTGCTATTTATAGGAAGGATTTTGGCCTCTCACGTCGTGAGCCATATAGTCTCACGTCGTGAGCCATGGCCGGTCACCTCGTAGACTTGCCATTTGCGTCCCTAGCTTCGGAAGGTGTCCGTATGACTCCTCACGTCGTGAGAAATCCTTGCTCACGTCGTGAGCTTATATCTTATCCCTTTCGTAGACTCGCCATGCGTACTCTAGCTCCGAAATCTGGCCTTATGACTCCTCACGTCGTGAGCCAACTTGCTCACGTCGTGAGTGGCTGATTAGGGTTTCCGCCATGTGTCATGCTCTAAGACAACTGTAACTTCAGAAGGTCGTAACTTTTTATACGAACTCCATTTTTGACATTCTTTATATCCACGCGTAGGTATTTACGAGTACTACAATTGTCTTTTAGAATCCAATAGCTAATTGTAATTCTATTTTAAACTTATTATAGAGATTTATAGTGTTCGGTTTATCATAACTTCTTCACGCGAAGTCAGATTTGGATATTCTCTATATTTTTGGAATCGTATGGACGTATGCTTTGAGTTGTATCATAAAGAAAGTTCATATTTGTATTAGAATTTATCATGAACTACATAGTACGTTTATCACATTACTAGTTTACAAAATCACATTACATGATTGGCATAATCACATGTGATTGTTATTGACCTATTTTGACTGGTGTTACAGTTTCCATGATAAATACTAAAGTAGTTGTTTGTATAACTTGTTGATAAATTTAAATATTTTCTAAAATTTGCAAATAGTAGTAATATCAATGACTTGTTTGCAAAGGAAAACATGAATCATAGAAAAAGGCAACGGTTACTTGATGTTTCACGAAATTTCTTCCACCAAATATTTGCTAAATTTCAGGAGGCCGTTTCATTTCCAACATTCCTCATGTAGGATTGCCATATTTTTCTCATGTGGGACATATTTTCAGACTAATTCCTCATATAGGATTGCCATATTTTCTCCATGGGATTGACATATCACCATTTGTCATATGTCAAATCACCAATAGATAAATCTCTACATTTCTTCATGAGGATTGCCACATTTTCCTCATGTTGGACACATTTTCAGACATTTTAAAGGTTTATAGATGGGTTCTATCATTTTTATTTATTGGTTTATTAAAATATATTTTATGTTGAATCATAAAACAATTTTTTTTATAAAACTAGAAATATAATTATACTAATTTGAAACTTTATGATAAGAAGAAGTTTGTCAAAGATATTAATTAGTTCTTTTTAATGATGTAATGTATTAAAATTAATATTTAATTTTTAGACGAAATTTCATAATTAGTCCATGTGGTTTGCAAAATTTCAAACCAAAGTTCGCGTTTTTGAAGAATATAGTAGAAGGAATTACTGAGCTCAAAGCGAAAAAACTCGGAAATTAACCAACAACAAAATCACCCACCAAACTATTGCACGTACACCGGCTAATCATCTTCTATGGTTCTTTTTGGATCAGAGATGTTCTTGAGAAAAATCGTTTGCAACAAAACCCAATTGCAAGAAGACATTAAAAATAAAATTGATCGAAGGGATTTTGAATAATAAAAACAATCCATTCAAAACAAACCCAATTGCAATGAATTGAACTTTACCTTTGCAAACATAGTAATCGAGATCAATCCATTCAAAACAATTTCCAAATCGAATTAAGTAAAAAATCTTGATACAAATTTGGATTAAAACCAACTAATAGAAGAAAACAACCGATTAGATATCCCATAGGATGATGGCCAAATAAGAACTATTCTTTATTCTTAAGGCATCACATGGATAGGAAACTGACAACCGGAAGAACAAGTTGTAGCAAATTTGTGAGAATTTCTTGAGCTAATTCATGTCGTCAAGATCATAATTGACATGTGAATGTCTTGGATATCTGGGGGATATGGTTTAAATGAACAGGGAAGATGGGTAGATGTACAATTGTTAAAAGAGGTTGAGAAGGTAAAAAGAACGGGGGTGTGATGGTTGTGGTTAGGATGGAGAGGGGTAATGATAATAATATGGATTTTGAAATTGAGGTAAAAGAGTGTCTGACTGTTCATCTAAAAATGACTTTTTAACTTATGAGAAATTAAATATCCTCATACTTTTCTTCTTAATTATCTTCCTACCCATGTGAAATGATGACAAATGTCAAAAAATATTATTAAATTTATTAAAATATGACACTTGTCATCATTTCATATCGGTAGAAAGATAAGTAGGAAAAAATGTAGGATGCTATTTAATTTCTCTTAACTTATTGACTTATTGAAAAGTCAATAAGTTAAAAAAATGTTTGGGTATAGAAAAAGGTCTTATAATTTTTTTTAGTCTTTGGAAATAAGATTTTAAGAAGTCGTAATTTCTAAGTTCTTGAAACAACTTATGACTTATTAGGTTTACAAAGTAGATAAAAGACAAAATTAAGCCAAACACTTTTTCACTTATTGACTTGTTGACTTTTGCAACTATAAAAGTTAATCCAAACACTTATTTAAAAACTTATTTTCCCATATTCATAAGTCAATAAGTCCTTTTGGGTAAACGTCATTTTTAACTTTAAATTGAAATCCCAAACACCCTCTAAAGCTGCGACATAGAAAGGTGATCGACGGTAAGGATCACTATAATGGATAACCGAAGAAAACGGTGGGGGTAGTTTCGACAGGTGAAGGGAGACGATCGGAACAAAGAGGGGGGGGGGTGGAGATTAGCGTTTTCTTAAACTTATTTTTTTATTGAGTGAATAACAAGTTTGGTCATTTTATTATATTGTTTTTTCAATTTATTGCAAGTCTAAAGGGATTTGAAGAAATTCTTTTATTTATTAAAGGGGATTAAAGAAATATAACATTTATAAAAGAAATAAAGAAGGATAAACTAGTCATTTCATAAATATTTAACCGTATTTTAACAAAGTTAGTCAAAAAGACTAACCTTGCAAGCTTTTAAAACCACAAATACTAGTGGCCAGTTTCGTGACATTTTCTAAATTTGTCCTTAAAATGAGACCTTTTGGCCATAAGCATCAATTTTTGAAATTTTATCTGATTTTTATATATGTATTTTCTAAAAAAAAAAATTATGATATATTAACAAAAAATGAGGTGTTTGGCTTGTCTTTTTTAGAGGTAAAAGTCATTTTTAGAAAAGTTACAAAAAGTCAGGTTTTCCTAACTTTTCCAAAAAATCAGTTTTCCTTCTATCTAAAATCCAAAAGTTATTTTTAAAATGTTTCAAAGTCTTTTACGTTTAATCTTTTTCAAAAAGGACTTTTGCCTATAAAAAAAAATAAAAAAAAAAAGACAAACCAAACACCAAAAGAACGGTTTATGCAGAGTGCTGAGCTCTCCAATGGGACCGGCTACAGTAACAGAGCACTTCCTCCGAACCACCCAACCAGCTGCTCACTCCGATCGAGATAAAGAATTCCCTTGCTGTACAAACCGAGTCTCTTTAATCCGGTAAGAAATTGTTCCTTTCTCGTCACAAGTATAAACATCATTGATATATTAGAGTTCGGTTTGGGTAATTTAGGTTTGTTTTGATTTCAATGTGGTTAAAATCTGGTTTTAATTTTTCAATTTTCCTAGATAGACGTTCGATTTTAACACTCGGTTTGGGTTATATATAGATTTTGGGTGGGTTTACGTATACATTTGCGTGTCTTTTAGTAGTAGGTATATATACTTGTTCATCTCTCATTCCTATGACTATGAGTACAAAATATTCGATAAATTCTTCAACAAGAGTTCTCCTAGCCCTATTTTCTTACTTTGGACTTATTTTACTATGAAAAAAACTAATAAAGTAAACTGAAATATGGTAATCTGTTTTCCAAAATAGATGCTTCCATCTATTTTTAGACACACAGATAACTTGCAGATGATATTGGTTCCAACAAGTACTATATCTGTGGTCCTCTTCAGTTTCCGTTTGTTAAAATTATAAGCATTGACCACTAGTTTGGCACTTCGCTCCTATATCTACTCTATTGTAATTGTAACCCTACCCAAATTAATTGCTTGTCCACCAGTTTGTAGCTTTGCCATGGTGAATAGGAGGATGATACCTAAGAATTGGGGATTGTTCAAATTGAGGACTAGGTGGTCGATTATGATGAAGTTCCAGAAGATGAAGTTACTTTGAACATGAAGTGTTTTCTCTGGTGATCACTTCTATATCTATTTAGTTACAAGCTTGGTTAGTGAGGGTTTAATTGATCTAACATGTGGTCTTTGTGGTTCTCTAGGTGAAACAATAGTTCACATGTTGAGATACTTTATAACTGCAATGTGTTCTGTTTTTCTCATCCATTATTGTCATATCCAATGATTTTAATGGAACGTATAGGTAAATATTCTTTATATTATAAACAAACATAATTGGATTACACATTACTAAGTAATCAATGCTCTTTCATGGATTATATCTAGGGTAATGGCATAATTTGAAGCATCAGGAATAAGCATAGCAGGATGAGCTGAAACATGTATTATGCTTTATTCATTTATAACTAGCATTCCTTCCATTTCACAATTGGGTATTTAGATTGGTTTGATGGTCAAATGTCAATTTTACTACTTAAAATTCAAATGAACCTAATCGTGGTCAAAAACCTTATCTATAGTTCCCAAACCTGAGTTCTCCTTTTTCTAATAAAGTAATAAACTATTATTTATTCTAAATCTTGCTTTCTGTTGACAAATTAGTAGTGGCAAGACATGTGTCCAACTATTAAAGTTTTTAATATTTCAACTGGGAAGCAGGAACCACTCAATTTAACGTTTAAAGCTGTGTTCATTGGTACATGTGCAAATACTTAATTGTTGTTTATTTACAAGAGATGTGATGTCTAGTATACATAATATGACTTGATCATCTATAACATAATACTTATATTCTTTCTTCCTTATAGTTTTAAAACCACATTTGTTCTACAAGCAGCCTACTCAATGAGCATGCTCAAAAGTTGAAGAAACCACTCCCGTAGTATCAAACTCACACTGAAGTATGTGAATGGCTACCTAAGTTCAAACCCACTATGTTGATTGATGGCATGAGCTATGCATCTTCAAATACATTTGAGCAGCGTAGATGGCTGAAATGGTGTGTCCAAGATTGCATATTTGTTTTTAGTAAAGACAAAAAAAAAGAAGTAAATATGCTATCTTTGACACATCCATCTTCGCCATGATGCAGAAGTCAAAGAAGGAAACATCACATCATAACTCACTCGTGAATAATCAAACACAATTCAAGAGGTTGGGTGCTTATATATTGCAGTATTACTTGGATGGCTCCTTGGAGTTTTAGTGTCAGGTATAGCCCTTTTATTTTTGTTATTTTAATTGAATAATCAATCATGATTCACTCATGAATATTGACTGTAATCTTATATTATATTGATGCCTAGTCCCACAAACTGAAATAAAAATATGAGGCGAGAATTATATACAGTTAGGCTAGGGTCCATCCTGTTGACAGTGCAAAAGGTTTTTAATCTATATTCAACAACTACCCACTTATTATTTGATTGTTTGACAAAGTTAAGCCTTCAATTAGTCACATGAAAGATAAGAATAATAGTGGCAGTTTGGAGTTTGAAACTCATTTGTCCTTGATGTTTAGCATAAATTTGTGTTGAATATAGTCCGAGAAGCTTTAGATTGCTAGAAGAGCTTGAAAAAGGAGATAAAGGAATCTGATCTGCATTGTAGAATATGGTTTAGGGTTTAGTGAAAATGTTGAGTGCTAGGATGTCTTTGAACTTTCGGTAAATAAAAAATTTCTTGGAAACTTACATCTCCCAATATAAAGTTCATTTCATTCAGGTGCTCAAACCACAAACCTCCTATCTCAAAAGTCAAAAGCCAACATACCAATGGCATCTTCTAAGAAAGTGTTGGGAATGGATACAAGTGCTAGATAATATGGGAAGACTCATTGTATTTATCTAATAGGGGACGTATGGATTATATTTAAGGTAAAAAGGGTTTATAGAGTTACTGGGTATGGAAAAATGTTCAAACATCAATCCCTGAAAAGTAGTAATCAATAAAATTGCCATGTTAAGTGGTTTCCGTAACCTTCCACCACTTCGCCAGGTCCCTTAATCCTTTATGGTGAATCTTTTGGCTTTTTGTGAATAGCTTGTTCACATGATTTATCAGCACAGTTGGCTTTTAAAAAGTTATTTTGTTTAAGAATCAATTAGTGAAGTTTTTAACAAACTATAATCGTTACAAAGGAAATGGATGGACAAAAATCGCTGTTTGCGGTAAGTTTAGGACTTGTCTTTTTTGTTCATACACTACAAGGAAAATGATCATTAGCGGCGACAAAAGTCACCGGTAATAAGTCAAGTTGTCGCCGGTAATAGTAATAGCGGCGACGCGTTGCCGGTAATAAGTCGCCGCTAAAAGTCCATGTCGCCGGTAATAGTGTCGCCGCTAAAGGTTGATACTTGATATTCTTGTAGTGATATGTGGGTACAATATTTGGGTGGGAATTGGATACCTGTTCATTCCAAAAAATTTATGATCTTATAAATTCAAACATAATACTACTACTCACATTTTGCATAAACGTTAGAGCTCCAAACTTTTTCTATAATAATCTCTGATACATTAAATGTATTCAAATTCACATTTAAAAAGAATTGATGCTTCGCATAAAAAAATAACAAAATATTTCTCATGTTCCATATGTCCCAATATCAAATAGTGGATCATTAAGATTTTAATAAAATAGTTCTCGTGTCCCATAGCGTTTGTTTCATCATCCTATCTTTTAATTGGTTACATAAGTTAGCATTTAGGTCCACTCTCCATTCCCCTATCCAAATTTTCGACCAAGTTATATTGATTTGACTTGGTTTAGATCTTGACAGGGATAGTAGGTTTTCATATCTATGATTTTGTTTGTGTGTGTATACACATAATCCGCACACACACATGCCCACACACAATGCGTGGGTCTAAAATGTAAAAAAAGTCTTATCATTAGCTGGTAAATTTAGGTAAAAACGTGAAACTCCTCAGGTTAAACGTTAAATAGGTCAGTGATCATTAATACACATATGATTTTGATTTTTGTTGGATGTTAAGATCCTGCATCTTATTCAATTCTACTGGACAATGCAGAGTTTAAATCTTTACTCACTCATACTGGTGGTGTGGATGGAGGTTTCAATACAAGCATGTGTGGGATAATGAGGAGAAACTAGATGCCCTACTTATTCTCCGGTAAATTTGTATACAACCTTTTTCTTTATTTTTTTCAAAATCTTTCTCCCTTTCCTTTTGAGCGAAAGTATTGAACACAAAAGTAATTGGTAGGTATTGATCAGAAACTAACATGAGTTGGTTACTAATTCTCAAACTAAGTAAAAGAATCTCTGCTTTATATTTTATATATCTAAATTGATAGAGAACAGATCATGTATCAACATATGGGTAAAAGTAGGGATGAGCTTTAAAACCGTTCCAGTTCGGAACCGAATCCGTTTTTCCTATATTATATGAACCGGGAGCCGGACCGCCGGTTCCAACGCCGTTTTTTCGGTTATTTTTCAAACTAGAACCGGTTGAAATATTGTAGATGATATGCTATCTTCCGAGGCCTGTAGATGATTCAATATTTAACCAAAACATGACTTTTTAGTTTTTACATTCTAAATTGAAGTAAAAACACTAAACTGCATGCTGAAAAAAGAATCAAGTAACTCCGACTTCATATGAGTGAGTTATGCGCATGTTAAAAAGCAGGACAAATTCCAAAAAAAACAAAATGCTGAAACAGAAAATACGCAACATTGATATTCTGTCTTCCGGGGTCTATAAATGATTCAATATCTAATCAAAATATGTGTTTGTACAATCTAAAATGAAATACAAACACTAAATTACATGTTGGAAAAAATTTATGTAATTCCGACTTCATATGAATGAGTTATACACATTTAAAAAGGTGGGACAGATTAAAAAAAACAGAAGTGCTGAAATAGAAAATACGCAATATTGATTTTCTTTCTTTCGGTGCATGTATATGATTCAATATCTAAGAAAAATATACGTTTCTACAGTCTAAAATGAATTACAAATACCAAATTACATGTTGGAAAAATAATCAAGTAATTCTGACTTCATTTGACTAAGTTATGCGTATTTTAAAGAACAAGACAAATTCCAATCCGGTTCCGGTTTTTAGAACCGGGACCGGTTTTCATAAAAGTGGAGAACTGGTAACCGGACCTTATTACCAATTCCGGTTTGGTTCGGTTCCGGTTCTGGCGGTTCTAAAGCTCATCCCTAGGTAAAACTGCAGGGACCTAAATGTAATATTTACCTTTTTCTGTTTCAATCCTATCTAGAATCATCCTATGTTAGTATAAATAACCACAGGAGTAGTGAATCATGAGAAGTATTTTTGATATTTTGAGTATATCGGCTTTAGCTTGGGCAGGATGTCATCTCATTGGAGAACCTTTCTGATTAGAGAAGGAAGAACATTTGGGTCTACACTGATTTTTCTTCTTTTGTTTATCCTTTTTACATTCAGCAATATAACTATTTAGCTTCCATTTGATCTAAAGAGTCTTATATTCAAATTGTTGTTGAAATCATTCCTATCATAAACCTAATAATCTGCCTTGAAAGTATATTCTGAGTACATCGTTACATGTAATTTAGTTCAACAACTGATTACAAAAAGAATGAGTACATAGAAAGTCACATAGTTAGGTCTTGAACAAGGGAAAACAATTTTTCACAAGAAAAATTGTAAATCAAAGAAAATTATATTAGCCCTATGATTTCAAAAATGGAAAGATCATAGTTTATATATTCGTCTATGTTTCTTGAGAAAATAATGGGGACAAATTCTAAAAATGAACTTATATATATATATATATATATATATATATATATATATATATGTGTGTGTGTGTGTGTGTGTGTGTGTGTGTGTCAGTGTGTGTGTATGTATATTTTTTATTTCGTTAAAATGTCAACCAATTACCAATAAGAAGAAAAGATAAAAAGAATCAAATGTCTAAACCTCACATGCATGGAAGCAACTCAGCTATAGCTGTATTTTACTTAAAAAGTGAACCAAGCAATCAAAAAGATAAAAAGAATTCAATGTCTAGAGTTCAAAAATAAATACAACTAAGTCGGTATCTCTATTATCTTTAAAAAGTCAACCAACCATTAAAAAGAAAAGATAAAACAATTCAATGTCTAAACTTCAAAAATATGGGATTACAACTCAGCTGATAGCTGTATAATCTTTAAAAAAATAAGAAGAATCGAATATCTGAACTTAAAAAATATGGAATACAATTAGGTTGATAGCTGTATTTTATAAAAAAAGTCAACTGACCGATAAAAAAAAAAGATAAAAGAACCCTTTCTCTAAACTTCTGAAATATGGAATATCACTCACTGGATAGCTGTTTATATTTAGTTTATTAGTTTTATAACAAATTCTCTATCTTCTATATTAATGCGGTTTAGGTGGATCGTAATTTCCTGACCCGAACATATTTTCATTTTTTTTAGTTTGTGTAGAAGGAAAAGTTCTGATGGTTAAAAATAATAATTAAGCAACAATAATAAATCTAGACATCACAATATTCAATAATTTTGTTGATTTCATTACTGTAACATATTTATAGTAATTCAAAAATACTGCCATATTAAGTGGGAATTTCTTTTTTTATAATACTTTTTCTTTTTTGATAAAAGAATATGCCACATCTCTTTTCCTTGCTCCTGCCTATTACCGCAACCCAACCTCCACATCTCCCAGTTCTGGTCATATATTTGATTTAAAATACCATTTAAACAAGATATTTATATAGAAATCTCAAAATTTCAAATATATATATATATATACACACACACACACACACACACACACATATATATATATATATATATATATGGAGAGAGAGAGAGAGAGAGAGAGAGAGAGAGAAGTTTTTGCGTGAGAACTTGACAACCAATTTTCCAAAAAAAAAATCTTTCAAAACACCTCCATAGGTACCTCGACACCTTGTCACTACTACAAAAATACCCTTTAAAGACATGCACTGCGTGTCGTAAAACGCACAGATGACACGCAAATGCGTGTCAAGGAAGACCCTGTAAAGAAAGACGACACACTTTTGCGCGTCGTAAAACTTACGACACGGATTTATGACGCGCGTCAAGGAAGACATGTCTAGGCCAATCGCACGTCCAAAATCACAAAAAAAAGTGATACTTTTTTGAAAATGTTCCTATATGCATATTTTATGTTTTTTAAATATGTGTGTGTGTGTGTGTCTGAGTTTATATATATATATATATATATATATATATATATATATATATATTCTATTTTGTTAAAGTAATGTCACCTAATCAATTTTCACAAAAAGAATATAAAATTTCATCTATTTTTGCTTCATTGTTTCCATCTAAAAAGTTCCTCCATACTGTATTAAATAATAATGTTGATTATGACGTACATAATGAATATGAAACCAACAACACTCGCATTGTTGAAAATGTCAAGTGATGAGAACTTTCTTGAGGTTTTTGTAAACTGGACATTTCTGGGAAGCTTGCATCTCTATATATTTACTTCATATCATTTCATTTCATTGAGGTACTCAAATCACATACATTCTATCTCAACACGTCAATGGCATCTTCGTCATCATCAGCTTCTTGTTCCGCTCCAGCCTTTTCTTCTCAACCGTGGAAGTATGATGTTTTTCTTAGCTTTAGAGGAGAAGATACCCGCAAGTCTTTTGTGGATCATCTGTACTCTGCTCTTGAACAAAAAGGGGTCTACACTTACAAGGACGACGAAATACTTCCTCGTGGTGAATCGATTGGTTCATCCCTTATGGAAGCTATAGAAGAATCTCAAATTGCTGTCATTATATTCTCAGAGAACTATGCAGATTCTTCGTGGTGCTTAGATGAACTGGCATGTATTATGAACTGCAGGGATGCGAAAGGCCAAATCGTTATGCCCATATTTTATGACATTGATCCATCTGAAGTGCGAAATCAAAGACTAACATACGGAGAAGCATTGGCCAAACATGAGTGGGTGAACAAGAACAAAGTTGGATCTTGGGGAGAACCAGTTGGGGATGACCTTTGGGGATGGCTCTCTGCACCGAGTGAACAGAACCAGAAAAACCAAGAAGCTTTTGCCAATCATGAGTTGGAGAACAAAATCCAGGTTGAATCTTGGAGAAAAGCACTTGTGGATGCAAGTAACATTTCTGGATGGGTAGTCAAGCATATTGCCAACGGGTAATTTTCTTCTTCTTTTACATGTTTTTTATGCTTAAGATATGTATGCTCTACAACACATTAATACTTGTACCATACAAGTTTTTAATACAAATATTTTAATCAGTCTTGATGATGTCGTTGACAATGACAAACTGAAGCTATCTAAAAGATAACTTACGACCTAGGATTATGGATGAACTGAGTTTGAGTTATGATGGACTTCATTGAGTTCTAGTTCTAATTTCGTACTTAACTCCTAACTTCAAGATACCAAGGAAAATCCATCTGCTTTACTTTTTTTGCTATTTGAACTTTTCACTGTTCCCGAATAAATCTTTTGCAAACTACTTCTGATATAACTTTACAAGTTCTATTTTGCATCTAAAATATAAAGGGTAATTAGGTCCTTTATTATTTCATGGTACATGATACAAATTACCTCTTTTGTTGGTGTGGGCATATGTCAATTATGTTGTATATCCAATGTGTAGGCATGAATCAAAGGTTATTAAAGAAATTGTCGCCAATATTTCACATCGGTTGCAGCCACCAACTTTATGTGAAAATGAAAAACTGACTGGATTAAAGGCTCGTGTTGAAGATTTGAAATCAAAGGTACAAATTGGGTCAGGAGGTGTGCGCATGATTGGGATATGGGGGGTTGGGGGTGGTGGTAAGACTACTCTTGCATCTTCTCTTTATAATGAAATCTTTAGCAAGTTTGATGGTTGCTGCTTTCTTGGAAATATTCGAGAAACAACAAGCAAGTATGGTTTGGAAAAACTGCAAGAAAAAGTTGTTTCAAATGTTTTGAAACAAAAAGAAGTAGAAATAAACAGTGTTGAAGAAGGAAGACGCTTGATGAATTATAGGTTTCGCTGTAAAAATGTGTTACTTGTTCTTGATGATGTAGATCACCTTGATCACCTACACGCATTAGCAGGATCACATAATTGGTTTGGTGAAGGAAGCCGAATAATGATCACAACTAGAGATAAGCATTTACTAAATGTTTACGAAGTAGATGTGATACACAATATCAGTTTATTACATGATAATGAAGCTGGTGAGTTGTTTCTCAAGCATGCACCTCGGGTTTACAAACGTATAGTAGAGTTTGAGTTGCTTTCTAAATATGTGGTTTCTTACGCTGGTGGGCTTCCATTAGCACTTAAAGTTCTTGGTTCTTTTCTATGCGACAAAGACATTAATGAGTGGATGAGTGCAATAACCAGACTGAAAGAGATCCCAGATACTGATATTGTGGAAAAGCTAAAAATCAGCTTTGATGGCCTCAAACCACTTGAGAAAGAGTTGTTCCTAGATATTGCATGTTTCTTTAGGGGGAGGGAGAAAGACGAGGCAATGGAGATACTTGATGCTTGTGGTTTTCATCCTGTTATAGGAGTGAAGGTGTTGATACAAAAGGCTCTCATAACTATTTCAGAAGATGGGGAGTTTGATATGCATGATCTGGTGCAAGAAATGGGACACTACATCGTTAGAGGGAAACACCCTAACAACCCTGAAAAACATAGTAGAGTTTGGAAGAAGGAAGATATTCTAAAAATATGTGCCGTGGATGCAACAAAGGTAATGGTTAAGCTAGCTTTTGATGATATATATATATATATATATATATATATATATGTGTGTGTGTGTGTGTGTGTGTGTCTATGTGTGAGTGTGTGTGTGTGAAAACACTATTAACTCAACCGTGACACCATTTTGTTCCTCTATCACAGGAACTTGACATGATTGAAGCAATAAGATTTGATTACGATAGTGATTATCCATCACAACATGTTCCTCCTATTGTTGCAAACATGAAGAACCTTAGGTGGATTGATTGGAAACGTGATCTTGCTAGTCCATTGCCTACTAATTTTCCACCAAGGGAGATTTGTTGTCTAATATTGTGTTGCATCTCACTCACACAACTTTGGGAGGGTTACAAGGTAATTTCTATTGTTTATCTAATTCAAAGTGTTCATTTTAAGTAGTTATGTGGATATGACCACTTAGCTATGTCACTAATATTTCTTAATTATTTGTTGATTCGATTAGTATTTCTCATGTGACTAATAAAAGTTTTATGAGAAAGTCGGTGGTGATGATATTTAAAAGTTGGGAAGGTAACTCATAATTGCCTAACACTTATAGGACAATTGTGAAACTAAGTAAAAAAATTTACATCTTGCATTCTCAATTCTTAAAGTTACTTGTTTTTATAGGGGTGTGAAACTTGATTTGGATCGGGAAAAAACCGAATAAAAAACAGAAACGTAATCATGATTGGCTATGTGCTGTTTGGTTCTAGAATTTGTTTCCATTAAACTGATTTTCTATTTGGTTAATGATTTGTTTTATTTATTTTTCAAAAACCAGTTCTCGGTTAAGTCTTGTCATGTTTAAAGCTGGGACCAAATAGGTCTAGGCCGTTTCAGTCGGTTCATTTTTTATTCCTTTACTTCTGATTTTCTGGTTTGGCATTTCAGTCTGGCTACAACACATCCCTATGTCTCCTTCCACTCTGAAATAGAATTAGAAGTATGCGGTTTCTTCGTTTAAAGTATAAAATAGAACTTATAGTAAATTGATATAATCATCCTTTCTTTATTTTCACCCAAACAGTTATCATTTTGTTCCGTTTTTATTTTAATATTTATTGACTTTATTTTGTTTTAATGTTAAAATAAAGGGTCTTAGGGCATCTCCAACCCAACACCGTATTTGGTGTCACATATGGTCCTTCAAGTTTGAGTTTATACGTATTTAGTTTATTTTAATTGTTTCAAGTTTGAATTTATATAATTGATAGTTATTTTAATTCGTTGTTTTATTTTTTAATGTAATAATTATTTTAAATATATTTAGTAAATGTATTTTTTATTTAAATTTGTTATGAATGTAAACTTTTATTTAATAAGAAAGTTAATTTGTTTAATAATATAACAATTTATATGAATATTTATATACAGATTATTTGTTTGGTTATATTTATTTACTAGCGTAATTTTTAATTTAAATGTAACTAAAAGATGTAAGACAAAATAGTAACAAGCTTATAAATAGAAAGATGTATTTTTGGAAATCTACACAATTTAGAAAAAGTGAATATACTTGGAATATTCTTTTCTGTAAAAATAGTGTTAGGGTTGGAGATGAATCACTATTTGCACCATTTTTTTTCACAAATTCTAGTGCAAAACTTGGTGTTAGGGTTGGAGATGGTCTTACTAAAACGTTTTGCAAAAAAAATAACCCTGAGTTAGCACATAAACCGCTTTAATGCCCCTAGAGTGTATATTAGTTGGTTTTGGTGTGACATGTTTGGGATTTGGGATAAAATAATGTGACCCGGGTTTGAGATTAGCAATGGCAGTGTGGGGGTTTCCCTGGTTGCATTTGCAAACTAGCCATTCCCCCGATCTTAGTGGAGTATGTCATTTACCTCCACACAATGAGCTTGGTATTGTCTGGTATGGCCGGGTGCATGGGGCTGGGGTTGCCCTGATTCAGCTTTATGGGGTTTTGGATAAAGGGATTTTGACCCATATAGTCATTTTTTTGGTGTAAAATACAAAAATTTAGACACAAAAAGTCTTATTTCCACATATAGACATCGATTCCGCAGAGCCACCTCCGAGGGCTCCGCGGAATCGGCTTAAGCTCCAAGGAATTGATGTGGCAAAAAAAAATTGATGAACAGTTCCACAGAGGTGCCCCTGTGGACCTCGTTAGCAGCTCCACGGAGCTGTTCATTGAGGTTTATTTTTTTTTTTACAACAATATACCCCTGATTTAATTACGGTTTTGCCATTCCACGGAGGACATATGCATTCCGCGGAGCCCATATATGTGGAAATAGTTGATTTTATGTCTATATTTTGAAATTTAACCCCCAAAAATGTCTATATCCGGCAAAATCCTTTGGATAAAACCCATTTTGACTTGTCTTAATATAAATACAAGAGCTTATTTGATTTAAATAAATGCTATATTCAGTGACGGAGCTTGAAGTTATGATTTGGGGGGGCCGAAAATAGAATACGTATAAAAATTGAAGAACAGGGGGGCCAAAGTCAAATTTTATAGTTTTGGGCATAATATGTAACCTTTTCAATACTTATGGACTATATATAAAAAAAAATTAGGGGGGCCACAGCCCCCCTGGCCCTATATATGCTCCGTCTATGGCTATATTATTAGTTAGGTAAAGTTTCAAGTCAAATCTATTTTTTTTTGTTGATCGATAGCCTTTATAAAACATTGATATCATTGAGCAAATGATTTTAGATATTTTATTAACAATCGAAAACTTTGTCTAATGGTAATCCCTTATATTAGTAGTAGTATGTAACTATGTACTGAGGCATGCATGCATATTAGATTCTTTATGTTATAATTGTTTTTCTTCAACTCTTTCACTTCACTTTTTTGATTTATTTGCATATAGCAGATGCTGCCAAATTTAAGATCCATGGAACTTTCTGGTTTGGAAAAGCTAATCATGACTCCGGATTTTGATGGACTTCCAAATCTTGAAAGATTCACGCTTATTTGGACTTCGTACCTTGAAGAGATTCATCCGTCGCTTGGACACTTGGAAAAACTTGTTTTTTTATCTATAGAGAATTGTTTCAGTCTTAAGATGTGTCCACCCATTACCCAACTAAAGAACCTCAAAACCCTTGAATTCGGAGGATGCCCAAAACTTTTTAAGCTCTCGGAGATCCAACAGTGCATGGACAATTTACAACATCTTCATCTGGATAATAGTGGCAAAGAAGGTGCATCCTATAGGAGATCTTATACAAACTGTTCTGTTACTAGCCGAACATGTGGTTGCAGAAATCATGGTGGTGACATAAAAGTTAAGAAACCAGAAGACAACCTTATTGATGTAGAACAATGTTGTTTAGAGGAGACTTGTTTCCGTCGCAACAACATGAACCATATAGGGTTACAGTTTTTCCACACAGGCTTAAGAAATTTGAATCTCAGCTACTGCAATTTAGGAGATGAAGACATCGGCTCTAATGTTTGGGAGTTGCCAAACTTGCAGTACCTATCTCTAGCAGCAAATAATTTTTCACGATTAGATTTTAATTTCTTGCGACTTCCTCAGCTCAAAAAGCTATTCATTCCATACTGCGAAGACCTTATTGAGTTGTTAGAGCTCCGGCAACTTCCTCGGCTCAAATGGCTCAACGTGTCAGACTGCAAAAGCCTTGTAGAATTGTCAGAGCTGCCATCAAGTATAGCTGTTGTTAATGCAGATGGTTGTACCTCACTTGAAAGCTTTGGAGATATTTCAAACTGCAAGTGGTTGTCGAAAGTCACACTTCGAGGGGAGAACAAATTATGTGGCGACATAATACTAGGCTCCATGTTCAAGGTCTGGCTCTTCACACCTTTGTAGTTTCAATCTATATTATATAAACCGAAACATAATAATTATAATTAAATGTGTTCTTCCATGGTAGGGAAATGCTGTAGGAGATCACTTTATCAATCTCACTCTTCAACATCAGATTCCAAAGGCGTTCCTAGGTAGGCTCTTTAGGAGGAAAACATTTAGACTGCATCTTCCGGATGATTGGTACAATCAATTTTGTGGGTTCTTAATGTGCATTGTTACTGACATAAGTTATCCGTATATTGATATAATCATCAAGCAAGAGCTAGATGAAGATTCACGATTTGAGCTTTGGCGTGATCAGTCTAATGAAGCAGCTGTGGAGCCTGAACGTGAAGGAACATTGACATTCATAGGATATGTTTCATTTGGTTTATTGAGGCACACCACATTGTGGAATTCATCATACAATATGATTTCACTTTCCTTAAACATCATGTCTTGGCAATCGTATGCAGCTAAGAGTTATGTTGGAGTTGTGCTCGCTCGTAGCCTTAGGATAACTAAAGGTCATCAGATGCAAACAACAGATCGCTCAGAATTTTTTGACAAGGAACGCAAGCATGGAAATACATTTACGATCCAACAAGATTCACAGTCTTCTATCAATATCTTATGGAAACCTTTCAACAACAAGTTTTGACAAACCCATTCCCACAAGTAACATTTACTTTTATATATTTGTTCCTTTGAACCAGAGTCTACAAAATGACATTTCCATATATTTCCCACTTGCCCACTGATTCTACCATTACGATTAGGTAAATGCAACAGGAATTAATCACTTTAGTCTTAACTTCTTAGTGATATGTTTTAGGTTTGTGGCTTTCTTTGTATTCCCTTTTTTGACCATTATGAATCCCCCCAATTCCTGCTTCTCTCACTACATTTGTGGTCTTCTCTGTTTCTAGGACTGTGCTGCTACTTTACTTTTGGTTTTGACTGTTACCAGATACAATCAACTACAAATATATGGATATTCTAGCAAAATTTGTTGTAACAGTACTAGAGTTTATATCGCTTAGAACTATCATTCAAAATTCCAGTATGATTCTATCATTTATAGGGCCTCCTTTCAGCATAGCAATTTACTAATAGCACTTTATGATCAACTAGATTTAATCATCATTGAACTAATTACTTTTCATTATGATAATGAAATTCAAATGCTTTGTTAATTCCCTTTTCTTACTTACTAGAGAAATTAGTAGTGGGTTGCACATTGATGACAATGTCAACATATTAGACATTTGTTTATGATATGGAATGATCAGGTGGTTGTCCACATTTTTTTCTGACACTGTTCTTGCCTTACCATTTTACCAAATGTTATACTATCCAAATGATTAAATTTTTTGGAATTCCTTAGAATAAAGACATTGATATATTATCCAAATGGTTAATGCTCGCTATAAATCTATTACATAAAAATTCAGACATGCCATAGATTTGTATGCATTTTTTTGCTGGTCAGTATAGATTTCCCTTTAGCTTGATAGAACCAATACAAAGTTTTTCCACTCTCCTACCGACATGTCACGAAGACAATGAATTTACCGGTCAACTTCACCGTCTGTCTTCATTCCATATTTTAACAAAAGGCCCCCCTCTGGCCTTGTTTTGAACCACATAGCCGACCAATAGTGACACTCATACAATTGCTTGGGTAAAGCCACAAATTTTTTCCACCCACATCATTCATTGGTGTTATCTGCAACTATATTCGAACTAGTGTAAATGGATTGTATAAAGTTTGTTTTGAAAAATAACAACCAAAATCAGTCACTCTTCAGCCTCTAAATGACCCAAAAGGTAACAAAAAGAAATATTTTTAAAATGACAAACACAAATTTTATTAGTAGGTGTTAGCAATGGCTTATATCAATGATTTTTGTTGCTACATGTGAAACCTTTTGTCGCTAATACATTAATAGAATGCAAACTTGTCACTAATTTTGATGCTAACCTGTCATTATCTTAGTATTAATAGCGAACACCACTAATTCCAGCCCACCCTGATTTGTGTCTATTCCGAAAGATTTTGTCGCTATTTTATGGATTTCGGTCATTAATATCATCATTATATTAGCATCATTATTAAGAATTTTTTCACTAATTCGAATCGGATCGGATCGGGATTTTTTTTTTTTTTTTTTTTTTTTTTTTTTTTTTTTTTTTTTTAACTTTGATTCAAGATGTAATACAATCCCATCCCAAAATTATCAACAAAAATATGTTGCTAATTCCCACTATTAGAAACAGAGGTATCACCGATGGCCAATTCCGTCGCTCGAGGCTATCAGTGATGGAGATAGAATTGTCAGTCGAAAAAACCTTTCGCTAATTGTCAGCGACAGATTAACGATAACACAAATTACTAATGGAACCTCTAGATTTCGTCGCGATGTAACTCACTGATTTTTTAGTAAATGAACATTTTTTCTGTTTTAACCGTCTAGTAAGTACGAATCTGTTGCTATTCCATAACAAAAATCCACAGATGTAATTCAAATTTTATACCGCAAAAATCAAAACATTAACATTCAACTACCAAAGTAAGTACTAATATTTGATTAGCAAAATAAAAATTCATGTTTGATTTAAAAGTATCGAAATCAGATTGCAAAAATCAAAGGTATCAAAGTATAGTTAGGTAATTTCTTGTTTTTTTTTTGTCTCAAATTGTTCACGTTCCGCCTTAAGCTCTTCCCTCATCTCATCACAATTACGATCAACAATAACCTACAAAACAACAATAACCAAGTTTACACCTAATTAAACTTTAAGCTACATCAATCGGTTAATAAAGCAACGCATTTTCAAATTGAAAAAAAAAGCCTATAAACAATTAATGAAAAGAAGTTGATATAATCATGATTAAGACCAAAAAACTACTAAAATACAACACATGCCATGAAACTATTGATACCAAAACACTATAAACAAATTTTCTATTTACACCTAATTAAACATCAAGCCTTTTATTTTTTGAACACCACAATTAATCAACACACATATACTGTAACACCCCGTTTTCACTTACAATAGAATTTAATATAAACACTTCTTTATGAAATATGAAGTAAGTAATAGTAATTATAAAAACGAAAGCATGCATATAAAGAATGTCTAAATCTGACTGCGGATGAAGAAGTTATGATTTTTCGAAGTTTCAGTAAAACAGTGTTCGATACAAAAGCTGAAATTAACTTTTGTCGATTGTTAGACAAAACAATCTAAACGAGAGTTGAAGATCTCTTGATAGGAATACGTCTATATTAAGACAGTCAAGAACGGAGTTTGTATAAAAGAGTTATGATTTTTATACAGACTTTGACACTCTAAGCCTCTATAAAAATATGGATTAAAATAGAGTGAGAATTAGCCGACAGAGTCTAAATCAAAATTGTAGTACTCGTCGATGGTTACACGTGGATATAAAGAACGTTGAAAATGGAGCTTATATGACAAATATACGATTTTTAGAACAAAAAATTAAATCTCGTATGCGTGCAACGAGCAACTTCTATGAGGGAGACGTGGACCATAGGAAAAGCGACACGTTGCATAAGCCGGGAGGAGCGAAATCGCATGAGCGTGCAATGCACCTGACAAAGATTGCTATAAATAGTTGCCTTCAGCTCCCATTCTTCCTCATACCATACACGATCCATCAATAGTGATAATTTTCGAGTTGAACCATCACCCCATCTTTATAGTCCCAAATTAATGTATCGATTAACCACACACGCTCCACTAACGACTAATAAAGAATGATGTGTTTTTTATGGATTATCATACACTTCACATTTTTCCTAAAGTAACTAGAGTTGGGATTTTATATAAAGGTTCTAGTAATTTTAATATCATTATACTTTTAAGAGGTTATTACCTATCAACCCATTCGGCTAACAACCCTCCACCACGTAAGGGGGCTGTGGGTGAGAATAGACACCCATTCAATGTTTATTTTATAGGCCGTTTTCTTATGCCCCCTAATAGCATAGCTTCGTGAATGAGGCTTACTATTGGTTGACTGACTTGTCTTATACATATAATATATTATACATTTAATCATATATAGTATAAGGTGTATTTTAAAACTTTTCAAAATACTAGGGTTTAAAATTAATTTTCGAATTAATCATTTATTAATTAATTAATTTTAAATTAATGATTTAATATTTTATCTTTAATTAAACAATTAATTAAATAAATTTAAATCATAAGGATTAAATAATTATCTTCCAATTAAACAATTAATGAATAATTCAAATTTAATCTTAATCCCAAAAACCTTTATAAATTTTCAAAACTAGGGTTTAGGGTTACTAGGTTTTAATTATCCAAATCTTAAGGCATTTAAGGATTTATAATTAATAAACTAGAAAATCCTTAGGAAACCTTAAGGAATTTCGAAATTTAAGGGGTGGAGGCTAAGGTTTCAAGAACCCTAGCCATATGTAAAAATTATAGCTTCCGAGGTTTATTTTCGATAAACCCTAGTTTTGATCAAATCATTTTATGCCAATTAATAGAAAATTAAGGCTTTGATACTACCTTTGGGTTTTATAGGTTATGAAATAATTACAGATGAGCGGAAAAACACTTAGCCCTTAAGTTCACATGCAACCTAGAAAGGATTGATGTTTTCCCTATTGATAGCTATAACCTATGAACATCAAGAACCCTAAAAGAAACCCACTAATTTCAAAATTAATAAATTAGAGTTACATACCTTTCAATTATTATGGTAAATAATCAAACCAAAATCTCCTTGCGGTTCCTTGGAAAGCAAGCACCAAAAGCTTAGTGCCTCGTATAGGTAAGTATCGATCGGAAACACTCAAGTATGAACAATTACAAAAGAAAATGAAAAACGAAAGAACAAAGATTATCACCAAGATGTTTTTCACTAAGAAAAAGGGTTCTCACATTGAGAACAAATCGCATAAAGCGAGGTACAAAGCTCTACTAGGGTTTAACCCTAATAGCATACTATATACGATTACACAAACGAAAATCCCACTATTTTGGGATATATTCTAATCAGTAGAAGGTCTGATCCTAGTCACTAAGATTGCAGATCAGACAACTATACTATAATTACACACACACACACACATATATATATATAATATATATATATATATATATATATATATATATATATATATATATTCCTAATATACAAAATATCAGACTAATATACAAAGTCTTACTAACACACGAGAATCACGATGTCGCTGATGAAGTTGGCGTTAGCGCTGGTGCTGGTGTTGATGGTTACGCTGGCGTTCGTGCTGATGGTCAACGTAAGATGTGTTTGACTCATCACATCATAAGGTGTGACCATACAATCTCCCCCTATCTGATGATGTCAAAACTAATCTTCATAGGAGTGAAGTAAGATGCTAATCTATGCTCCCCCTTAAGTGAACAGTCTTCTTGAAGTATGTCTACTTTTCTTTCATAGGAGTTTGAGTGACAAAACTAATCTTTGCAATATCTAATATTAGACTCTCCCTCATGAAAACCAATTTCAGTCATTGAGAAATCTTTCAATTCGAACGAGTAGTGTAACATGTAGTATGAACCATGGTGAATGGAGTGCAGCATAATGAATTTGTCACTAGAGCTCATGGGATCTTTCATATGACCTTTCTTCGTTTTTCCTTCATTTGCAAGATATCTCCCCCTTTTTGACATCAACAGTATGAGTGAGTGGTAGTGAAAAGTTTAGCAAGATTGTGATGTCTCCTGATAACATGTGTTTATGCTATCATTTATTAAAATAGTATTGTGAAGTCTTATCGGTGTATGGATTAACACACTGAATCATTAACTACTTTTATTAGAAGAAGAAAAGGATAAGAATGGATCTGTGAGCAAGTGGCTGTCGAAAAAGGTTAACGCTTGAGAGATGCTCATGGGCGATAACACGGGCTTACATTCTGCTAGACGAGTACGTGTTATCAAGTC